AATTAAGCTAGGTAACAAATAAAACTCAAGAGAAATTAAATTAACAATAACTTGGTTGAAAATAATTGATGGATTTGTTTTCAAAGATGAAAAAGTGTAAATAGATTTTAAATGACAAGAAAAAGTAAGTCTTGGTCCAAATCAATTTTAATGGTAATGTATTGGTGATTTCTTCAACATATATAAGATAACTCAACCTAATATCAATGATGGTGATATTAGATCGGAACTTCAACATATATAAGATAACTCAACCTAATATCAATGATGGTGATATTAGATTGGAAGATATTACAATGAAGTTTAAAAGGATGAAGATTGATTATTGCTTAAGAATGAACAAGTACTTTCATATTAAGTAAGACATTGAATCAAGCAATCTCTATACCAAAACTAAAGTTTATGCATAAAAATTCAAGATTATAACATTACCTAAATGATTTCTAAAATTTCTTTGCAATAATAAAACATTCATGAAGAAAATAAGAAGATAAACATTAAGATTCATTCATATCCTAAAGAACTCACCTCAACCACCATCATTCTTGATTTGGATCCAAGAAAGAGATTAGCCAACCATGATTATGTGTAAGAACACTTTAATAAACATGAAATAACTTGAATCAAACTAAAATAATAAGTTTTACAAGCTAAAGAACTAAAATCTACAAAGAAGAACACAACACAATTTCAGAAAAAGTTTGGACACAACTTTGGAAAGTAATTTATAGGAAATTTTGTCACCTTTTCAGATCATTAAAGAACAGCTCATTTGGACTCCTGAGTCAAATGTTATGGGCAAAACACCGAAAGATGTTCTGAAAAATCAAATCAGGCCAGCTTTGCAACCACTTAATATAGACTTTAATGTTTGATACTAACATGTTTTATATTTGTTATCTTATTCACTCTTTAATACTTTGCTTGTTAAATGACTAATCTAGATTTATGTTGTATAACACTTGGTATAGCAAATACTTGGCACTCTCATAGCCCATACTGTATGATATAACCGATACTTAAGCTATGAAAGGAACTTGATTTATTGTTAACATAAATTATAATCATGAATGCCTGATGAGATTTACAAGTATTAGCATTAATCGAATAAGATCACTAATGTAATCATGTTAACAATTTATAATTTAATTGGAACCTCTTTTGTGTGTGGTTTCCAATTGAATAATAAGAGTTTATACTATACTTGTTTGACATACCATTAGTGGAACCTCTAACCTTGACATTTGTTCTTATCATCGTTTAATCCTTACATTAATATTCTATCTCAAAGTTTTCATCATCATCTTCTTTTTCTCGTTTTTTTTCTTTATTATTATTATTATTATTATTATTGTTTTTGTTGTTATTGTTATTGTTGTTATTATTGTTATTGTTGTTGTATTATTGTCATCTATAATTTATACAATCAACCTTTCTATGGTTCGACCTCGGTTTTGTCGGGTTATTTATTACTTCGACACTCCTGTACTTGGAAGAAGACATCAATCTTTTAGTCGTGTCACTATACAATCTCTCTCCATGGTCAACTAGAAATATCCTGACCTTTGTATTTGTTTCGCCATTGTGTGGCCATTGGCATGTGCAGCACAAATCCCCTCATGGACTTCTTTTAGCGCTTGTTCAATCTCATTTTCATTCAGACAGTTGAGCAGAGTCCTATCAAATGACCTTTTATATAAAATTTCTCCATCTAAGTAAAAATTCATGGTCATTCTCCTTAAAGTCTTTTCATCTATCTTGGAAATCCCTGGAGAAACTTCTTGATGTCATTATACCATGGTTTCCCATTTGGAGATTCTTTAAATGGGCTTCAAAGCTTCTGACTTCGATATCTATTGGCTAGATCTTGCTTTTAGCATCAACTTGTGTCATTGAAGCTAAGGTTGCCAAGGCATCAGCAAACTGATTCTTACTTCTATTTATATGGGTTACTTTGATTTCTTCAAATTCATCGGTTAACCTCAAGATATAATTTTGATACAACTTTAATTTCTAATCCTTGGTTTGCCACTCTCCTTTGACTTGGCAGATGATTAGTAAGGAACCCCCAAAGACCTCAAGCTTCTTGGCTTTAAGTTCTAAAGCAGCTTCCAAGCCAATGATGCAGGCTTCATACTCAGCCGTATTATTGGTACATTCAAACAATAACCTTGTTGAAACATGATACTGTTTATTTTCTAGGAAAATTACTACAGCTCCTACGCCATTTTCTGATACATTTACTGCACCATCAAAATAAAGGGTCCACTAATCACTTTCCCCACCTTCATTCTCGATTACTATCACATCTTCATTTGGGAGGTCAAAGTTTAGAGGCTCATAGTTTTCCATAGCATGATCTGCAAAATGATTGGCAATTATACTTCTTTTTACAGCTTTTTTTGTCATAAAGACAATGCTATATTCTACCAATAACACTTGCCACCTTTCTATTCTACTTGAAAAATAAGTTTTTTCATAGATATACTTGAATGGGTCTAATTTTGAAAACAACCAGGTTGTGTAGTATAGCATATACTGCCTGAGTCTTTTTACACTCCAAACCAAGGCACAAAAAGTGTTATACAACATAAATCAAGTTGAGTCGTCACACAAGCAAAGTATTAAAGAGTGAACAAGATAACAAATATAAAACATGTTAGTATCAAACATTAAGGTCCATATTAAGTTTACACTATACTTATTCTTCCACCATTAGTGTAACCTTTTCACCTTGACATAATTAACTTAGCTAGACATAATGAAAGAAAGGAAAACAAATAAACAAAATAAGAACATAAAAGTTAACTAAGTAAAGGAAAGGAAATGAAAGGCATAAACTTAATATTAATGAAAGCTAAGCATAAACATTACAAAAAATACAAAGAGAGAAAGGAAGCGCATGATCTTGATCTGGAAACCAAGATGCCTAAATGCATGGCGAATGCCTCCTTTTATAGGCCAAAATTGGGAACTATTGATTTGATGACTATTTGATAAGTGGGTGGCCAACTTTTGACTTGGTGACAATCCTTATCTTCTCTTGTCTGCCCCAAAAGTCATTGATAACGTCAAAACTGGAGCCAGGTGCAAACATGAAAGTTGTAGACAATTGTCTCAGCTTTCTTGTGTAAAAAATTCAGCTCATTTGGACTTCTAGAACTCCAGATGTGGCCAAAATACCGAATAGTGCTCGGGCTGGAAGACAGATTCGGGCTTCTTTGTTATTGTTACAATTTGGACTTGATAATGGCCTTTTTAGATCTTGGGATCCATATGAAAGTTGTAGGCCTATGTCTTACCTTTCCATCCATATAAATTGGACCTAAATCTGAGATCTGTAGCTCCATATATGGCCCAATATGTTAACAATGTTCCGGTTTGGATTGCACCGACATCTCTTCTCTAAGTTTGACCATCTCTTTATCCATGCAATTTAAGTTCCTCAAGTCATCAATCAATCCTTTCATATATGTGATAGACCTATAATATAAATAGACATTTACCACAAATTATAGGTATCTTATATTATTAGATATATTATTATAAAACATGCTTTGGTTAAGGAGTTATTGATACTTCAAGTGCAAAATGATGATATAAAACCATGATAAAAATGCACTTTTAAGTACTAATCACACCCCCCAACCAGCTTATTACTAGTCCCTAGTAATCAAAGCGTAAAATAGAAAAACAATTTGCAAATTCCACAAAGCAAGGTATTCATCATTTAACTTCCATTAATCTATCCAGATAAACAAACTCTCATTAAATTTATATATCTGCTCAATACCACTTAACAAGATATTAATAAACCTTTCTTTTGTGCTCAATGTATCAACACATAATTATGGGGCTTTTCTTGGAAGAAAACAAAATACACCATTAGTGTAACCTTTTCACCTTGACATAATTAACTTAGCTAGACATAATGAAAGAAAAGAAAATAGATAAACAAAATAAGAACATAAAAGTTAACTAAGTAAAGGAAAGGAAATGAAAGGCATAAACTTGATATTAATGAAAGTAAAGCATAAACATTACAAAAAATACAAAGAGAGAAAGGAAGAGCATGATCTTGATCTGAACACCAAGATGCCTAAATGCATGGCAAATGCCTCCTTTTATAGGCCAAAATTGGGAACTATTGATTTGATGACTAATTGATAAGTGGGTGGCCAGCTTTTGCCTTGGTGACAATCCTTATCTTCTCTTGTCTGCCCAAAACGTCATTGATAACGTCAAAACTGGAGCCAGTTGCAAACATCAAAGTTGTAGGCAATTGTCTCAGGTTTCTTGTGTAAAAAATTCAGCTCATTTGGACTTTTTCTTGTGTAAAACATTCAGCTCATTTGGACTTCTAGAACTCCAGATATGGCCAAAATACCGAACAGTGCTCGGGCTGGAAGACAGATTCGGGCTTCTTTGTTGTTGCTACAATTTGGACTTGATAATGGCCTTTTTAGATCTTGGGCTCCATATGAAAGTTGTAGGCCTATGTCTTATCTTTCCATCCATATAAAGTGGACCTAAATCTGAGATATATAGCTCTAGATACGATCCATTTACCGAACAGTGTTCCGGTTTGGATTGCACCGACATCTCTTTTCTATGTTTGGCCATCTCTTTATCCTTGCAATTTAAGTTCTTCAAGTCATCAATCAATCCTTTCATTTATGTGATAGGCCTGCATTAAAAATAGACATTTACCATAAATTATAGGTATCTTATATTATTAGATACATTATTATAAAACATATTTTAGTTAAGGAGTTATTGATACTTCAAGTGCAAAATGATGATATAAAACCATGATAAAAATGCACTTTTAAGTACGAATCACTATGTAATTTAGGCGCCCGAGGAAACTTCTTACTTCCTTTTCTGTCTTAGAGGCAGGCATCTCCTGAATAGCTTTAGCTTTATCAGGATCAACTTCTAATCCTCAACCACTTACTATAAAGCCCAATAGTTTTCCTGTTTTCACCTCGAATGAGCATTTTGCAGGGTTCAACTTTAGTTGGTATTTTCGCAGCCTTTCAAATAGTCTCCTTAACACTTGCACATGATCTTCCTCCTCTAATTTTACAAGTATGTCATCCACATAAACTTCCACTTCTTGGTGCATCATATCGTGGAACATGGTAACCATTGGTCTTTGATATGTGGCTCCAGCATTCTTTAATCCGAATGGCATTACTTCATAACAAAACATCCCCCAAAGTGTGACAAAAGTGGTCTTCTCTTTATCTTCTTCTGCCATTCTAATTTGATTATAACCAGAGAATCCATCCATAAAAGAATATATAGCATTTCTTATGGCATTATCAACGAGAATGTCTATATGGGGTAAAGAAAAATCATCTTTTAGACTCGCCTTGTTCAAATCTCTATAGTCCACGAATACCTGAATCTTCCCATCCTTTTTTAGTACTACAACCACATTAGCTACCCATTAAGGATATTGGACTATATCTAGAAACCCTGTATCCCACTGCTTTTATATCCCATTTGGGTGGCCTTCCTATAGTGAATTGTACTCTACACACCTCCTTATTTGGTGCCTTCATCATGAACACCTCTTCACTTGTTGCTTTCTTGATTTGTAACAACCCACAATTCATCATTTGCATCACTTTTTTATAAAAGCCTTTGCACTGGCTGATCACATGGCCTTCTATATGGTTACACTTACAGCACCTTTCGCTACCCTCTTTATACTTTGCATCTCCCATCATTTGATAGATCCTATCCATTGACACCTTCAAGCTTTTTTAGTGTTTTATTTCTAACACAGACCCACTACCTGAAGCATGATTGGTAAAGGGTTCGTATTCACATTAGGGGCATCTTCAAAGGTTATCCACCCTGCTTTGATTAATTGCAAAAGCTTCCTCTTGAAGGCATTGTAAGTATGGATATTATGTCCAACTATACCGACATGGTATTCGCAAGTGAGATCCGGCTTATACCAGCTGGGGTAAGGTGGTTGTAGGGGTGTCAAAGGCACGTGGGCTACTTGTCCGATACTTGGCAGCTTTTGGTACATTTCATTTAGGGGTAATGACAATAGAGGTAATTGTTCTTGGGTTCTTTGGTAGTTCTTTTTTGGGATATTTTTAGCTTGGTTTTTTACTTGGTGGTTTTGGGGTTCAAGTTTTCTGGCTAGGATCAAAAAGCTGAAATTAGTGTTGGCAATTTGGGGTTAAGAGGATTGAGCGTTATATTTTTGGAATTGGCCTTTCTTATTTTTATAACTATTTTCAACATGATCAATCTCCCACTTTTTTACTCCAAAACCTCTTTTCTCTATGGGTGCGGAGATCCTCCCACTCTTTACTCCTGCTTTATTCATTTTGCTACCGCCACGACATCAATGAATTGTTGAGCCGAACTACCCATCACATGTTTATAGTATGGTGCTTTTAGCGTGTTAGCAAACAGAGCAACCATTTCCTTTTTTAGAAGAGGGAGATGTACCTGTGCTGCCAAATCTCTCTATATCTAGGCATATTCCCTTATGCTTTCTTTATCTCCTTTCTCCAAATTAGATAGGCCGGTTCTATTAGGAGCAATATCCATGTTGTATTTGCATTGCTTGATGAAAGCATCTATGAGGTCCTTCTATGTATGGATCTTGGTATTATCTAACCTCATATACTAGCTGATGTAACCATATTATTCGATTATTTCACTCATATTTACCTAATGTTTTATCCATGTTTTATATGTAAAATGCCTTGATATTCTTTGTTTTATGTTTTGAAGGCACTTTTGGATGAAAAATGCAAAAAGGAGTAAATTGGAGATAATTGGCAGATTTGATGTTCAGTCGATGTTTTGTGCAGAGCGTGATTTCTAGAGATCAAAATGAAGTGATTCCAGTGGCTCTAAAAAGCTAACATCCATACCTTTCTGGAAATGTAATGCAAGAAAAATACAAAGAGGAAGATCATGGAAATCACATCCTTCAAAGTCAAATCCCGTATTCTGCCACTATTGACCTTTGTCCATTCAAAATTCCATATCTGGAGCTATAGAAGTCCAATTAATGCAAACTCAATTTTGTTGGATTCCTGACTCAAAGGTCTAGAAACGCTCCAATTGTCAGCCAAAAATGATGTCAGATGATTTTTCAAAGATGACAACTGAATTCTGCCAGCAATCAGGTTTCGTGAAGAAATGAGTCCAAATTATGTTTCGAAGCTTCTAAACTATCATCCAAGTTATAATTTCAGCAATTTAGCACCTCTAGTAAATCAATCTAGAAGGTCAAGAAAAGTAGCCACCAACCTCAATCCACCAACCTCGAATCACCAACCACAAACCAGCTGAAAGTTGGAATGCTACCATTGTCAAAGAAGGAGGCTACAATGGTGGGTTGTTTGTGGTAACTACTAATGTCAAAGTTTGGCATGTTTGGCAGCCACCATTATTGATAAAGAAGCAAGAGGAGCTGTCATTGAAGCCTATATATAGACACCAAGAGAGCCAAGAAAGAAGAGGAGGGAGTGCAATAGAATCAAAGAAAGGTGGTAGCAACTAGAAGTGAAGAAACACAAAATCTCCTCTCTACATACTAGAAATAATGCTTTCTTTTATCTTTAGGAGTAGTTGTTCAATAAATATGCAAGGCTAAGCTCTTTTCTTGGTTGCAAGGACGCAGAAACTTTCAGATTTCAAGAACTGTGAGATTTATTCTTCATTTATTTTCAGTTTGTATTATGAATGAGTATGATTGTTTTCCTATGCATGTTTTCTATGATTGTTGTTGATAATTGCTAGAGCGGACTCTAAGTTATTATTGTGAACAATCTATTGCTAAGTTTGATATCAGAATCGGAGTTAGGGTATATAAACTTGTGAAGCAACTAAGCTTGATAATTGTGGCGGAACTACGTTATTAAACTTAGGGAAAACATTCGATCAAAGCAACACAAGCAGACAACTTGGTTGTTAAGATTAATGAATTTATCTAGATCTTAAGGCTGCCATTAGATTAAATCATTAGTGCGGACACTGTGATTATTTGTTGGTTAGGGCTAGTTATACGGCGGATCCGTTAATTAACCAAAGTTAAGAAAAGATAAAAATTCAGAATATAAACTGGAGTTTCGTTTTAAGGATCAATTCTGATTTCTGTAGGTGGATGTGTGCTTGTGACCAAGGTTTGTTTTCTTGATAAATTTCAGTTTTAATTGATCGTGTTCATTAGTTTAATTTCTTCCATATTTTAGATTATCACAAATCAAAACCCCCCAATTGCATAACGTATAGCATAAAAATTTGAACTAAATCTTCCTTGTGGGATCGATCCCTTGCTTGCTCTATACTATCTTGTGTGATTTAAGTGTAAGGGTAATTAATTTGTGCGACCGCGACATCGCAACACTAGCTCAACGCAAATCCACTCAAGTTGTCTTGGAAGAAGTGCATTAGTAACTTCTCATGTGTACTATTTTTGTCATTTTATTGCAATACGATTTAAGATGGGTAACAGGGCATTGAGTTCCAATATATTTGATAAACTCAGGCACTCAAAATTTCTTTGGTACGACCACATTAGGGACTAAGCATATTTTTACGGCTCGTACTGGGTCATATAAATCTACTCCTTCAATAGCCCTAATCCTAGCTTTTAGTGTTGCCAACTTTTCTTGATCAATGTCATCAAATGGCTTGGTTTTGTGGGATTCATTGGTGAATGCATCTGCGACTGCAAGTGTTGGTGTTGGTGTTGTTGACTGCACAAATGTTGGATTGTGTTAGGGCTCATGTGTTTGTTCTTCTATCATTTCATGATTTGCTGGGAAAGTGGTAGGTCTAGTGGAAGGGTCTTCATCAGAGGTATTTCTTAGTGCTTGCTCGAGGAAGCCGGTGAGGCAAGCTATACTAACCTTTAGAGAATCCAATTCTTTTTGGAAGTGAGCTTCATGATAAGCACGCTCTTCATCTTCCATATTCCTTGCTCGAAGTCGGGTGTTATAGACTCTTTGAGGACCTATATTTCATCTTGGCATATGTATGTGTGTTATAATGAATAAATGTATGAATATGGATGCAAATGGAAAATGTATGTATAAAGATTAAAGAGCTAATTCATGAGTTCCTTTAAACACAGGTACAATCCAAAGTTTGATATACTCAAAGAGGTTTTACCCAAGTCCTTTGATTGATTAAATTCTATACATTGTAAAAGTTCAAAAGTAGGCTTAATATAGATAGTTCATACAAAGTGCCTTTATTCAAATGATATTCCTCTATTGGCTACATTCCTAATGAAAGGGGAAACTTCATTCAAATACTCCTCATACCTATGATGGTTGTTGGCAATCCTAATAGCCTTCACTCATAGCTCATTTGCCTTTCTAGCCACCACGTCAATTAGCCTGTCAGTTTGTTTGATCTTGTAATGGAATAAGGTGTTATCTTGAAGTAGTGCTCCATTACTAGTGGCTAATGATTCATTGCTTGTCTCTAAAATTTGAACCATCTTTACCAATTCATCATACTTGACCTTCCCTTCTTCCTGTTGCTTTTTTGCTTCATGTTGGTTTTTCCTTAACAATTTGCCCATCTTTTTCATTCATTTGTTGATCTAGAGAGGCCTTCATCTCTTCTTCTTTTAGAAGTTGGTTTTCCAGGAATTTCTGATGATTTTTGCTATTGTTGAGCTCAATCCTCAGCTTATCCAACTCTTCTTGGAGATCTTCCTCATTGTTAACTCCTTTTCTTTTGAGCTCTAATTTCATAGATGGCTTATCTTGGGCTCTTCTTTGCTCTTTTTCCTCTTGAAGTATCTTAGATGAGCCACCACTCCTCCATATTAAGTATATAGGGCTAACTAAGAACTCTTTTTGATGTTCTTCCTTATAGACCAAAACAGGCTGCTTCCAGTCATTTCTGATGGCATCTAACTTTTCCAAAGAGCTAGCTTCTTTAAACAGATGGTATATTCAGCTAACCCCAAGTTCATGCCACGTATTGTACTTTTCTAAACTGTCTAGCCACCAATGAAGGTGAGTAACTGATATAACTATTTAAGCCAATCAACATAACCATGCTTTGTCGCCACAACTCATAAGGTAAGATGAATTGCTTACCCAAGGAGCTTTCCATCTAAAATTACTTTAGGGAAGTGCTTGGTCTTTCATCTAAATCACTTCATTCTTCAGTCAACACTAACTCAAGAGGCCTCATGTTAAACCACCAAAAATTATTGAAGATTTTTTTTTATGTTTCCAAATTACTAATTATCCATATGAATAATAGAGGAACATAGCATCACATCGCCCCTTTCCTATGTAGTTTGCAATGATTTAGAGATAGGAAGGTTTCAGTTAAGATAGCTGAAGTAGGGTTATTCTTTGTCTATTCAAATTCTAGGAAAGCGTTAGTAGCTTCAATGCTAATAGTTCCAGCGGCTTTTGAAGGAAATAGAACTAGCCAAAAGATGGCGAAAGCAATTATCTGATATCTTTCTTCACCTAACTTTCCCTTTTCTTTATCTGTCTTTAATTTATTCTCGATCATTTTCCATTTAAACCCTCCATTGAATGTCATGTATCGATCAACTTGGTCCAAACGTATAAGTTTTGCAACTGTTGTAGTTGTACTCTCAATTCTTTGCTTGAAGTACACTTTGTAAGGGTCATTCAAAAAACTCAAGATCTGGGTATACTCTTCAAGAGTAGGGGTCATATCAATATCCCCAAAGGTGAAACATCTATAGCTTGGATCCTAAAAATGCATCAAGGCTTTGACTGCTAAAATCTGAACAAGAATTCTTATTAGATGAGCGATTCTTCCATACTTTTTTCTCAAACAGATTCTCATCTACATATCCCAAGATTGGCGCCAACTTCTTCATGTTGTCTATGGAGCAGTGCACTTCGGTTATGTGTGGTAATTCTTCAACCTTGGTTCTTGAGCAATCCCTTTCCACTAATTACCAAAAAGGTAAAGGAAGTCATGGTCTTAGCTCAAAAATCCTGTAGGGTTCAGACAAATTCTAAGTTATTATATGAGGGATATGTTTTCTAGCTAGTCTTAAAAGGTCTATGAACTGCCTAGTGACTACCTTTCGTGAAGGCAATGTAACGATTTACAAGGAATGGTCAGGCACAGTGTGACCGCTATTACTAAGTAAACACTCAGCCTATATCTGGATGTTTCACGAATCTGAACCCCGACTGAAAGTCATGAGGCAGACCGCTACTCCCCACCTAACCTAGGATTAGGTTTATTAACAAAATTAAAATGCATGCTAAAGTAGTAAAAATGCGGGCTAAAATTAAAGACCAACAAAAACACAAACAATCAAACAAGCGAAGCTTAGTTCGACCAGACAAGGTTATCCCCAGTGGAGTCACCATTTTATCACATGGTGCGAGCCAGCGTGACGTTGTCTGGCGACAACAGAGCCTTTTATCGTGCCTCTAGTGTGAGGTGTTATGTGTTGGAAAGGGTTTTGGATTTAATCATGAAATGATGATTAATATTTAGGAGTCGCCACCTAGTATTATAGTCACTAGGAACCTATGGTCTACGAGAATCTGAGTAAGGGACTGGTTGTGCGAAGGAAAGATGCATCACCCCCAGTGCACCCTACTTAAGGTAAGCTGCATTGTTGTTTGATTGTTTTTTCTAAGTCGGGTATTTGTTGGTCTTTTCTAAGGCTCAAGGCAGATTTATCTTCGTGAGAGAGTCTCTACCTTATTGGGTAAAATCCTAACCGTTTTGAAAGTCTGAATTTTAGCATCACATTTATTTACATCTTATATCTTTAATATCTGAGGGTGTACTTTATTATGTAATTTTACACCCCATAAATATTAAAGTCTACATCTGGATTAAAAAAAGATTGGAAAAATATTTTTGACATGTTGGCCAAATCCTAATAGATAATCATAAATTGATTTATGATATCCATTTTAGGATTTTCTTAATATGAAAAAGATGTAATTTTTATTTTTTTATGAAAAATATTCTTGGAAAAATTTTAGGATTTGGCCGTATGCAACAAAATTTTTTTTTGAAAATGGAAATTGATTTAAAAGTGTTTTTTTTTAGATTTTTTTTGAAAATGTTTTGATTTTTTTATAATTTTAGAGGAAACCGGGTATTTTAATACCAGATATATATTTTACAATGTAAATACACAACTCGATATTATGCAAAATTAGTAAACACACACACACATAGATAATTCACATCCTACATAAACAGAAGGACGTGAATTATATTTCGCGCCTACTGTTCATGTAGTGAATAGTAGAGAGGGGTGGAAGGGAGAAAAAGAAGAAGAAGGAAAGGAAAGGAAAGGAGGCTCACCTGGTTGAAGGTGTCATTGCTGCTATGTTGAGGTGGTTCGGCTGGTGGCTTAAAGGGCATCACTTGAGGTGATGGTGGCCGGAGTTGGTTGTGGGAAGAAGAAGAAGAAAAAGTTGCAGAAAAGAGAGAAAGGCTAGAAGGAGAAGAGAGAGAAGGTCACGATGGCTGATTGGTGGCTAGTTGGTGGTAGAAATGGTGAGGGTATGTCGTGAGGATGGTGGCTGAGGCTGTGATAGTTGGTGGTCGATAGAGGAAGAAAGAAAAAGAAGAAAACTTACAGCGGGGTGAAAAAGGAGAGGAAGGAGATGAGAGAGAAAGTCACGATGCCTGATCTACCACTAGAAAGGAGCTGAGATGATGGAAATGATAGTGGTAAAGCTGTTGATGGTAGTAGTGGTGGTTGAAGGCCATGGTAGAGAGAGAAAGAAAGAAGAAAATTTGTAGAAACAGGCAGAAAAACTGTTTTTTTGGTTGACTTTGGACCCGATTTTTCTCCTCCCTCAAGCCATGAAATCCACCTCTATTTATAGGTGGTGGAAGAGGGCAATCTTGTCTACACTGAAAAACAATTTCAGTCCTTGACTTAGTTGGGAAGGATCCCAACCGTTAACTCAAAATACGTATCATGAGTTACAAATCTGCAGACAAAAGTTGAATGAGTTGGCCCCTTTAGGCTGTCACTAGAGATGATTTATTGTCATTTAGCCTAAACTGATCACATGGTGTTGTAGAAAAAGTGCAGATGATTATTTTCGTATAAAATTTATCAAATTTGGTGAACATAAGGTACATTAAATACAGTTGAAACGTATTTGACATAGGTAACTTAATCAGCTTTTTCAGATAAAAACAAAAAGATAATGAACAATGCCGATTCCTGTTTTTGCCAAAGTTTATTTTAGTCCTCCCTCTTTCAATTGCTTTCAATTGAAACGTATTTGACCATAAAATCTTTTTATTTAATGCAATTTAGCCCTTAATTTTAATCAATTAACTTAGTAAAAATTAAATTTGGTCTCTTAAAATTCTAATATTCTCAATTAAACCCAAATTAAGCTTCAAAACTTAATTTTTCACTAATTAAGCCCCAAATAAAATTAATTTAAGCTATTTAAAGTATAATTAATTCATTGCACTTAATTAAATCCTTTAATTGGACCTAAATTAATTTTTAAACATACTTAAAATTTGACTTGGCCCATGATTAGATCAAATTGGCCTATTTAAAATTTAATTATGTTGTTAGACTTAATTTTTATGCAAATTCATCCAATAATCATTTTATTTAACTTGAATTTGCATTTTGTTTTTCTATTTTGGGTATAATATGGCATAATTAGGCCTTGAATTTCCTCCAACAATTGCAACTTGATTCCCTGGCCTACTTTCTCCACATTGCCAGCCTTTATTATTATTTTTTATTTCTAATTTTTTTTTAAAATGAATTTTGGGGAATAAACCAAAATTGGGTTATGACAGTTAACATAAGTTATAATCATGAATACTGATTAGTACTTAAAACTGCATTTTTATCAAGGTTTTATATCATCATTTTGCAGTTGAAGTATCAATAACTTCTTAACTAAAGCATGTTTTATAATAACACATCTAATAATATAAGATACCTTTAATTTATGATAAATGCTCATTGTAAATGCAGGTCTATCACATAAATAAAAGGATTGATTGATGAATTTAAGAAATGAAATTGAAAGGATAAAGAGATGGCCAAACTTAGAAAAAAGATGTTGATGCAATCCAAACTGAAACACTATTCGATAATTGGGTCATATCTAGAGCTGCAAATCTAAGATTTAGGTTTACTTTATATGTATGGAAAGCTAAGACATAAGCCTATAACTTTCATATGGAGCCCAAGATTTAAAAAGGCCATTTTCAAGTCCAAATTATATCAACAATGAAGAAGTCTGAATCTGTCATATAGCCCAAACACTATTCAGTGTTTGGCCCATATCTGGAGTTCTAGAAGTCCAAATGACCACAAGTTTTTTTCTTAGAAAGCTAAGACAATTTTCTAGAACTTTATTTTTCTCATTGTATTTTTGTAATGTATAATGACATGACGAAAAGATTAATGTCTTCTCCCAAGTGTAGGAGTGTCGAAGTAATAAATAACCCGGCAAGACCGGGGTCGAACCACAGGGAGGTTAATTGTACAAATTATAAACAACAATTATAAACAATAAGAATAATAACAACAACAACAACAACAACAACAACAACAACAACAACAACAACAACAACAACAATAATAATAATAGTAATACTAATAATAATAGTAATAATAATAACAATAAAGAAAAAGAAGGAGAAGATGAAAAAGAAGATGAGAACTTTGAGATGAAATATTAATGTAACGATTAAATAATGATAATAACAAATGTCAAGGTTAGAGGTTCCATTAATGGTATGTCAAACAAGTATAGTATAAACTCTTATTATTCAATTGGAAACCACACACAAAGGAAGTTCCAATCAGATTATATATTATTAACATGATTAAATTAGTTATCTTATTCGATTAATGCTACTGCTTGTAAATCTCGTGAAGCATTCAAGATTATAACTTATGTTAACAACAAATCATGTTCCTTTCATAGTTCAGGTGTTGGTTATACCATATAGTATGGGCTATGAAAGTGCCAAGCATTTGTTGTACCAAGTGTTATACAACATAAATCAAGATTAGTCATTTAAGAAGCAAAGTATTAAAGAGTGAACAAGATAACAAATACAAAACATGTTAGTATCAAACATGTAAGTCCATTTTAAGTTTACACTATACTTATTCTTACACCATTAATGTAACCTTTTCACCTTGACGTAATAAACTTAGCTAAACATAATGAAAGAAAGAAAAATAAATAAACAAAATAAGAACATAAATAAGATAAAAGTTAACTAAGTAAATGAAAGGAAATGAAAGGCATAAACTTGATATTAATGAAAGGAAACATAAACATTACAAAAAAAATACAAAGAGAGAAAGCAAGAGCATGATCTTGATCTGGATACCAAGATGCCTAAATGCATGGCAAATGCCTCCTTTTATAGGCCAAAATTGGGAACTATTGATTTGATGACTAATTGATGAGTGGGTGGCCCACTCTTGACTTGGTGACAATCCTTATCTTCTCTTGTCTGCCCAAAACGTCATTGATAACGTCAAAATTTGAGCCATTCAAAAACATGAAAGTTGTAGGAAATTGTCTCAGATTTCTTGTGTAAAACATTCAGCTGATTTGGACTTCTAGAACTCCAGATATGGGCTAAACACTGAACAGTGCTCGGGCTGGAAGACAGATTCGGGCTTCTTTGTTGTTGCTACAATTTGGACTTGAAAATGGCCTTTTTAGATTTGGGCTCCATATGAAAGTTGTAGGCCTATGTCTTACCTTTCCATCCATATAAAGTAGACCCAAATCTGAGATCTATAGCTCTAGATATGACCTAATTACCGAACAGTGTTCCGGTTTGGATTGCACAGACATCTCTTTTCTAAGCTTGTCCATTTCTTTGTGCATTTCTTTGTCCTTTCAATTTCAATTCTTAAAGTCATCAATCAATCCTTTTATTTATGTGATAGGCCTACATTTAAAATAAACATTTTCAATCCTTTCATTTATGTGATAGGCCTGCATTTAAAATGAACATTTACCACAAATTAAAGGTATCTTATATTATTAGATATATTATTATAAAACATGCTTTAGTTAAGGAGTTATTGATACTTCAAGTGCAAAATGATGATATAAAACCATGATAAAAATGAACTTTTAAGTACTAATCACACCCCCCAACCAGCTTATTACTATTCCCTAGTAATCAAAGCGTTAAAATAGAAAAACAATTTGCAAATTCCACAAAGCAAGGTATTCATCATTTAACAGCCATTAATCTATCCAGATAAACAAAATCTCGTTAAATTTATATACCTGTTCAATACCTCTTAACAAGATATTCATAAACCTTTCTTTTGTGCTTAATGTATCAACACATAATTATGGGGCTTTTTTTGGAAGAAAACAAAATTTTTGTTCTAATGTTTACGGTTAACTTCCTTGGGTTAGGATTATTATTTTTGTCTTTTTTTTTTCTTCTTTTTTTTATAAAAAAATATAGATACATATAATTTAAAAACACCATGCATCTTTAACCCATGTAACGAGCTTTCGGCTAATGACTCCCAGACCAGTTGGTCTTAGGGTATTAGGTGTTAAGACACCTCTACGAGCTTAGTAACTCGGATCGCAAATATTGATATATAGATAGTGCAATGTTTGATTTCCTTAAGCTTTTCTCCTCAACCCATGTAACAAGCGTTGGGCCAATAGCTCCCAAGTCAGTTGACTTTAGGGTATTAGGTGTTAAAACACCCCTTCGGGCTTAATTGCTTAGGTTAGGGAGGCTACGAAACCAAACTAATCTATATTTTTATTATCATCATTTTTTTTTCTTTTTTTCTTTTTTTTTAATTATATACTATCTCTTTTCCTTAGGTGTTACCTTTAACAAAAGAACATAAATAATGTAGTAATCCAATATGCAACCCGCAATCATATGTTAAAGTATGTGTGTGTAAATTAAGGTTTAAAAATACATGTTAAAGAAGTATATGAGCAGAATTAAGTGATAACAATGCGAGAGTTTGTAAACCTGAATATTTCAAGAAGTATTATGATAGACCTTATTAAGAATGGTTACTAAGATGCGTCATAAAAGTTCTCCTTACTCTGCCATCATAGTAACAATAATTTTGCACATGCTTTGTGAAATAGAAAACACAGTTTTTTTTTTAGCTACTACCCTCTCCCCCCAACTAAAACAAAACATTGTCCTCAATGTTTAAAGGTAGAAAGATAGAGTATAGAAGATATCACCTGAAATAACAAACACTAACAAACCTGAAACACACTTAAACAAATATAAGAAACAACAAAAAACTAATATTATGCTATTTATAAAATCAAAAGACACAAATTTTTACAAGCTAAGACTCAAATCGCAGTTGTGATTGTGACTCACATCTTCCCTCGGTTTTATGTCCAAGAACAGCTTAAACGCCCTCTATGGGTTGGGGATAGGCTTCCCATCCAGTTTTCTTAAAAACTGGCAAACAGGGTCTTTTTTTAGTCAGATTCCCAAGACTATGCCAAGCATGTTCTTTATGAAAATGGTTCATAATTCATGAATTGCACAATGCTATCTCGACTATGATGAGACCTAAGAGTCAATAGAAGATTATCTAAAGACTCTCAATGTTTTGAAATAAATCCCACATTTTGACAATTTTCACAGATTTTGCGGGATGCATGTGATTCCTTGAATATGGTGGGCAAGTAAAATCCACTTTGAAAGATTTCTACAGTTCTTTTTTTTTTTATGAGAAATGATCCCCACGTGCCTTAGAGTGACAAAATTTAATGAAATTACTTACCTCATTGTCAGGAATACATTTTTGAAATATTTGATTAGGAAAATAATTGAATAAGTAAGGGTCATCCCAATAAAAATTTTCCACGTTGCTCAAAAGTTTTCTTTTGTCTTCGGTACTCTTGTGAGCTGGCAAAAATCCTGAAGCAAGAAAATTAATATTTTTAGTAAACCAAGGCATTGAACTAAAAGAAAGTAGAGATTTATCAAGAA